GCTCACACCCGAATCCAGGAGGCAGACCCCTTCAATCTGGGGTGGAGAAGAGCAGACAGCCAAGTCCCAAACTGGGCCGCACCAGTACGACCAACCAGCCCCCCGCCCCAGGAAAGCCACGCCCCGGACCACCCCCACACCCTACCAACGGCCAGGAGCCCACCCCCAACCGACCACCCCCCAGACTCCGGCAGCCACCCCAGCCAGCGGGCCAACCACAGCAACCAGGAGCCAGACTCCGGGAGCCCGAACAGCCCCAGGGGAGCCGGAGCGCTAGCCCCGCCTCCGGAGCCCCCCCAAGCTCCATGTCCGCCCGCAGCCCAGGCCCCCATCCCCAGACGGCCATCGGGGAACGGGGGAGTAAAAAAGACCCCGACACACACACACACCACCACCCTCAAATGCCTAGCTCAATATTTCTAAAACTGGCTGAACTTTTTTTGTGTTTAAGTTTGTTTAACTGAATTGTGTCGATTCCAAAAGGTAATTATTTATAAATGTATATTCAATTATTCATTAATGAGTCACATTAAAATCTATCCAGTAATTTATGAGTTATTTTGTTAATAGACATAAATAAATAAATAAATAAATAAATAAATAAATAAATAAATAAACATGTATTGCATTTCAGCTTCCAAAACCTTGAAAATTATTACCTGTTGATCTGTAGGTGCATTTAGTGTATGCCATTCTCATTTACCTGTTGGCTAATATTTTCAGCACAAAATGTTTAACTTTCAGTACATTGTAAGAAAGGTCAAAGCCAGGCTGTTGCCAAGAAATGTCACAAAAATGAGGGTTTTGATAAGAAAAAAAATGAAGGCACCAACTTGACCTTACCTAATTTCCCTCTGGGATCAATAAAATATTTTTGAATTGAATTGAATTCAACTTCTTCATTTATTGACAACTTGTTATTAAGTTAACACTTTATCCAAGATACGATTCTGAGGGAACACACTCGGCTAATTCTATTCATATTTGAGGGGGCAGAACTTGTGTTGTGATACCTTGTCTGAGTTTTGGACTTTTAAGTTTTTTAAATTTCGACATGTTTTTCTTCATCGATTCCTCTGATGTGTAATGATGTTTCATTTGTCATTTATGCCTTTTTCCTGTTGTATCTTACATTGATTGAATGTATATGTTTTTGGTCGTCATATAACTTACACTATTTTCCCCTTATTTTTACGTTGTATTTGTTTTTGAGTAATGCATTTGTGTTTGGACGTTTAATAATTATTCCTTTTGATTTGATTTGAGTATTGTTTACCAAGAGGAGGGTTTGTTATGGAATAATTATGTATATCTGTTCTACCTTGACACTGTCCAGTAATCATATCTCATGATAACTAGTTTCGGCTGTTTTAATCTATCGGCCCAGACTTCAAGACTCCAGCAATGCATGACCTCTTTTATTTTGATAAGGTGTTTCCGGGCTGACAGYCCTGTCAYTGRTTAGATGGTTCACAGTTGGCGAACTGTGAYTRGTTGTAARCRTGTYACAGGAYGTTATATTATCGGCTGCTCTGCGCTGACGAGCCAGACACAACTTGACAGACTTCTCTGATTGACTTCTGCTCTGTTGTTGCTCAAATTAAATCATTTGACAACCATACACGCAGACTTTCTGTGCATTTATTCCAACGTGCTTCTGCATTCTTGGTAAATCGTGCCACCACATCTGTATTTCTGCCTTCCTTTAATATTTAATCCCTTAATTGTCCGCCTGTATTCAACTCCACTGACTCTGATCTGAATACAGAACCTCACAGGAAGTTCAGGGGTTAATGACAGGTGCTCTCATCATTTCATCAGCCTTTCATTTTAAAGGGAAGAAGTAGTCACTGGGTAGTTTGGCGTCATTGTGTGTGCCTCACTGAACACGGAGCGGAGAACAGCTCAGGGCGATTACACAGATCCATGCTCAAGCTAAAAACTACACGGCCATCTCCAAGCAGCTTCATGTCCTGCTGAACACAGCTGCCATTAGAAATAAAAAAAGAAGAAAATTCATGGAACTGTAGCCATTTACCAGGATGTGGATGCAAGACAAAATGCAACCCCAGGTTTTTCAGATGGATAAAGCAGATGGAAGAAAAAGAGCAAAATGAACCATTGAAGCTGAAATCCAAGGATTTTTTTAATCACAATAGGTTTCATGAAGAAAAACAAAGCAGGAGGCTGCACCAAAAACAAAACCGTGGAATTCAACAAAATGGAATTTGAGCGCCAACATTTGTGTGACTCTACATAAGGAAACACAACAGCACCTGCAGTGAAACATGGAGGCTCAGTTTTGCTCCATCCAGCACAGGGAACCTCGAGTCTGAGCAGGGCTTTGGTGAAGTCTCAAGACTATCAAGGCATTCTGGAGCAAAACATAAACAGTAAACAGAAAGCTCTGCATCAGTCACCCAAAACAAACAGATAAAAACATTTGAAAGAGAACCAGTTTAAATGGTCCAAACCTTGATCCTAATGAACACCTGTGGAAAGATCTGAGTGGGCCAAACTGATAAAAGCAGACGTCTCGTTGTGAAGGTCAGTTGCAGTGATCGCTGCAACAGCTGCTGCTAAATCAAATAAAGGTTCTTTCATGTCATTTTTATTTATTTTTACGAAACATTCAACTGAATCCATTTCAAGCAACGTCTGACGTGTGTTAAACATGAAACAAAGAACGCCACTAAACGTTTCTCAATAAAGTTATTTCAGATAGTTGAGTTTTATTCATTGTGGAAGAAGACCAACAAATTTGTTTGCATCTGTGAGTAGAAATACAGGAAGAGAAACTCCTCATTCTTGTGCCAGTGAAGTTTTAGCCTGAGTACCAACTTCTAAACACAAACGAATAAATAAACCACATTTTATTTTGATGCAAAGTGCAAACGAAGAGGGAAAGCCTTTGATAAAACAGAGCCTTTATAAATACTCCCACGATGGCTTCAGAGGAAGACATGTTTTCACCCGATACAAGTAAAGCCACAAGTTCAAAATCTAAACACACGTTTGTAAATCTGGTTACATTCAATTCTCTGCATGTGCATACTGTTAGTGTTCTCCTTAATGTGATCGAATAAACACTTTCATTTGTTTATGTTTGAGTCCCACATCTTTGGGTGACAACACACTTAGAACATTTTCCATTAAAAGTTAGGCAACAATAGAAAAAACGTCTAAAGATCAGGATCTTCCTGTACACAACTTAAACCGCTTTCAGACAGACCAACACAAAGAAACTGAATCCAGAGGGAGAAATGTTCATGTTTAAATGGAAAAGATAAGGAGAGATGGACGCACAAATCCAAAATCTTGTAGACGGATGATTAAAAAAAAAAAGACAATCAACGAAGGCAGCAGATGAGTTGTGTCCAGATCTGAGGGAGGAGACAGAATCTGGACCACACCGTTCCTCACAGAGACACACACAGCTACACACACACTCAGTCCATCTTCTCCTTGTGAACCAGTTTTGGGGCGTCTACAAAGTCCTGGCCGTTAAACAGGATGATGGTGGCTGTGATTGCGCTGGCGGCCCCCCAGAACATAACATAAGCAAGGGTCTCTGTCCACGTGTCCCCTGCAAGACAAAGAGCAGGTCAGTAAGGCTGGGTTTAAATCAGCAGCTGTGGGTTTTAACTTCCTCGTCTCTTACAAACAGGATCCACCGGAGTTATTTCATTTACTTACTTACTTGAAGTCGAAACAAAAACATTTAAAAAGTAAAAACAGTTTTTCCTGTGCTTCACACAATAAATCTGAACTAAAATCATGCGATAGTGAGAAATGATGGAGTTACAGCTGTTTTAGTCAAGCTTTGAAAACGATGTGATATTGTGAAACCTCACAACGTTTATCAGCACTTTATGAATGTAGGCATGTATGTATGTATATCTTTATATATGTATGGGTATGTGTATATATTTATATATGTATGGGTATGTGTATATATTTATATATGCCCTCCATGTATTTATCCATTTATTTTTCAGGTGAGCTGACAGATGTTGGGTGTGTGGTCCTGTGTTTTGTTGGTGTATATTTAATATACTTCTAATCTGTATTTCTATCTTTCTAATTATCTCTCTCTCTGTTTTTCTCTCTATTTTCTCTTCACTTAAAAAAAGAAAAAAAGTCATTGATGATGAAGAAATAAATAAACTAATAATATTTGGTTTCGGCGGCATGGTGGCTCAGTTGGTAGAGCTGATGCCTCTCAGCAAGAAGGTCACCGGTTCAAATCCCGGTCTGGGGACCTTTCTGGGTAGAGTTTGCATGTTCTCTCCGTGCATGTGTGGGTTCTCTCCGGGTACTCCGGCTTCCTCCCACAGACCAAAAACATGACTGTTAGGTTAATTGATAACTCTAAATTGTCCCTAGGTGTGAGTGAGAGAGTGAATGGTTGTTTGTCTCGTTTGTCTCTATGTGTGGCCCTGTGATGGACTTGCGACCTGTCCAGGGTGTACCCTGCCCCTCGCACTGTGACTGCTGGATATGGGCACCAGTGAACCACGCAACCCTGAAAAGGAAGAAGCGTGTACAGAAAATGGATGGATGGATGGATGGATATTTGGTTTCGTTTTCTACTGAAGTGACACAAAAAAAAGAAAAAAAACCTAACATGTCTGAACTAACACAGTCAGTGTGGAGTTGAGTTGGAAAGCGAACGCTCTTGTGCTTCACGAGGAAGCAGCTGGCTCTCCGAGGTGACCCCTGCACTCTGTAAGTACTTATAAACATGTCAACTTGTACAGATTATCTGTAAATTATACAGATTTTTATCACATTTTCAGGACACAGACATACAGAAACCTCACAGATATTTTTTCCCCAAAACTCAGCTTCAAATTTATTTGACGTCTCAGAACCTGCAGGACGTAAAAAATAATAATAATAATTTGATTGTCAATAAACAAGTAACCATCTGAAGGGGTTGACGTGAATATACTCAGTATTGGTGAGTACCCACACTGAAGTACTTTTACTCATACTCCCTACTTTATTTCAATCCCTCTCTACTTAAACATCAAGTCTTGCTGTGTGCACTGTTCCTTGAAAGTAAGAAGAAGCAAGTTGATGACTTTAGATTTTCAGGCAGTGTGTGAATTTAGAAATCATTTCTTCAGAAACCTTTGAGTTTCATTTATTGTTTAAGTATTTGAATAAGTGCAAAACAGCTGTTTCTTCCTTCTCATGCAGTAATCACTGGGAAAAACAGTTTTAATGTGCAGCACAGTCTGTTTTAATTTCTTTTTATTAAAATACGATATGCTCAGCTCTGACCCCAAACACTGAACAGTAAGACTGGACCAATCAGAATGAAATCAATTGTTAGCTTAATTTACACCTCTGTCCCTTCAGTAGTTTGCAGACAAGTTTTCACCAACAGCAACACAAGAAGCAGCAGTGAAATAAAACTACCGTATTTTTCGGACTATAAGTCGCGACTTTTTTCCTGAACTTTGAACCATGCGGCTTATAATCCGGTGCGGCTTATATGTGGATTTTTTTTCAGCCACCAGGGGGCTCTTATGCTCCATTTGCTTCAACCACTCGCTTCAAAAAACGAAGAAATGAAAAAAAAGAAGAAAAAAGCGATCCTTCCAGAGCCGACTGTTGTACCAGGAAGCAGCGATTTAAAGATAGTCAGCGGCCAAAAACTCATAAAAGGCGATAAAACAGACATTTTTCACGGTGGAATCTGACTGATAAAAACTTTGGAGCTTAATCCAGGACCAGTTTGTGGATAAACGTCGAGTGAAGAGCCGCTGACTTTTTTTTCCTCATTGCACTCCCCGGGGAAGGAATCCCATGCAGTGACGTATGCTGGAGCKGGAGGGCTTTCCCAGCAGCTCGGCTCGGGGTTTCTCAGGGGAACTATGAAAGGTCAGTGCGAAAACGAACGCCGAACAATCACGTGACGGCGCGTCGACCGGTCGACAGTCAAGCGACCATACTGCCAGCTTAGCYGGAGGTGTAGCGCCATTTTGTTTTAGCTAGTAGCAGACA